TATATCTAAATATTCAAGTAAAAAGACCACAAAATACCAGTTATATACAAAGAGTAGCAGGAAAATGCATTTTCTAAAAAGCGTAACATCCACAGACGCAAACCCGTAATAAAGTTGAAACCGTGCTGCAAAAAATGAGACGACTACAGCAGTTTAAAGATTCCACTTAAAACCTACATTACTTCTTGCAGAAATTTTTTTAATGAGCCTTGCGCATCAATGCACTTCAGTGACTCATCAAATTTCGCCACGCACATTTTATTTATGTGACACGGAAGGCAGCAAGGTGGTTTTTTCAACTGAGATCGCCGTACCGGTGAAATAGAATTACTGTCACCTTCCGATTTTGCGGTTGAATCCTGCATATACAAAACATATATGTAAAAAATATGATTTATCGACATGCTGACAGTTCAATACGAAAAATGCAAGAAAAAATGTAACTTTTTTGCCAGTGCAAAAAAAAAAACAAGAAAATAATTTTAATGAACACATACTACGTAACTCAGCGACTCCAATGAAGACCCCTTCGCCGGGTGCATCTCTCTTGAATCCAACGAATCTGTTGGAGATTTATCTTCCAACTTACTTAAAGTGTCATGCAAAAATTTGACTAAAGAAGCTTGTCGTGTATAAACCTAAAAGCAACTAGTTCTTTTGATAGAAGCAGTTCTCATTTGCTCATTAATTTGAAAAAGAAATTAACTCTTTTGCGAAAAAAACAAGGAGTATGAAGAGTAGCTAAAAAAACTCCCAAAAGGTTTCAAGCTGTAAACATACAGGGAGGAAAGTGTAGTATTGCGGCTCTTTTATCTCTTCGTTAGCCACGTTTACAACACGATCCATACTATCGACCGTACCTTTGGCAGAAAGATAGAGAACTGGGAGGTAATCCGTGGCAGAGGAATCACTCTTATCTTCTGCTGAATCATCTCTGGAACAAACGCAACAATATTTTTTACTGCCAAACCCAAAAAGCTAATGTAAGATAGCAATAAAGCACGAAAAAGGCAATAACAGCAAATGCAGATATGCATTAATAATTTACGCATACGCAAAAAGACCCCCTTCATCAAAACCGTAGTTTCACTGCAGTAAAATTACTGTCCCAATTTAAAAAAAGTTGCTATATCATCATGATGAGATAACAAAAACTCGTTAAGAACCAAACAGATAGAAAAAAAATATATGAAAAACTTACGTGTCGATAGTACCCACTTCGCAGACTGCTAGGGATGTAATGAAAAACAGACGAAGTTGACTGCTGCATAAAACAGCACAGTAATTCCGATTTATAGCTACCAAAACCTTAAATGTTGAAATGAAAAAACATATAACAAGAAAAACTGAATACCTCCATGAGAAAAAAACCTATTACAATGTGAAAATATAAATTTATTCAAACCGTTGACCTCCCCCGTAAAACCTTACTATTGTTAACTGTCTGCAACACTACCAAACAACGAATGTATAATGTACAAGTTCTAAGATATTTTACTTCGTCCAAAACCACCCCAACTAATTAGAATTGTCGAAATTGGCAAGTTGTCGCCGGTATGCATTAAATCCATGATCCAATAACCTGGAGAGCACGGTTCGTCCAAAATTCAAAAGTCAAAATCACAAATCAATCCTTATCTGCTCTTAGTTGATCAGTTCCCAAGCACTTAACCAACAATTCGTTTCAAAATGCGGGCACAATCGATAAGCTTTTAAAAAATTAACGGTTACAGATCGCTGCGCAACGATAAGCCAGATTATTAATGGCACCATCAGATACTACAGTGTCAGTAAACAGTGTAGTAATTCTTCTTCCGCTTCAACATCAACAGACAGAAATGCTGAACGACAGCTAACGTACAGCCGTTTCCAGTAAGAAAAGTCACGAACAACCGTAGCGATTTGATGACACAGAAACCATGCTTAAACCGTGAAACTAAAACTGGTCTTCACGAGGTAACCGCTGCTTATATTTATTCTACAATCAATGTTTCGTTCGAAGAGAAAGTGTAGACTATGCAACCGTTTAAAGAAGCAGTTTCAAATCGAATACCTCAACGCACGGCCAAGCAGCGTTCAATACTCTCGTTTTAATATCCAAGAGCGACGATGCTGGACGTCTTTCAACCAGACCGTGAAAATATGCAGCTCTAAATTATCTTAGTAAGAATATGTAATCAGAAGCCAAAGATTCATCCAATATAGTCAAAAGTTATAAAAACAAGCGAAAAATCCAAATCCAGTAATTCCAAAGCGGCACACCCATATAAAGGGGTTCCTCGAACAATATCAAGGTAAGCTTTCCTTCGGGCATGATCAGTCGGATACAAATCCGTTCTAGACGCAGATTTGAACTTTTCAAAAGTTTCGTATTCAATTGTCTTCCGACCAGTCACAGGGAAACCAAAGAGATAAAACGATTTTACTGCATGTCGATGCTGAACGGGGAAAAAGTCTGGCATCTCAAAGCTGGAAATGCTAATTTTATTACTTTTCTGAAATAATGATGAACAAAGAGAAGAATGTTGATAACAAGTTGTGAAGATAATAGAATAGTGGTTCCAATGAAACCGAGTAAATAACTAAATCATCTCAAACCGAGGTACAAATAAATCTCCAAAAACTGAAGCCAATTAATCAAAATGTTACCATATGTTTTTTAAAGAATGTTGTTTTTCATCGTAAGGTCCCAATTCAAGAGCCATTTGTAAACCAGCGAGGCGAACGCTAGTCTCAAGGTCGCAGACGTACCGACCTGCAATCACCTCTTCTCTGGCAGAATGATACAGAATTTCTGTCAAGTCTTCTATGTCTTTTTCCTCCACCTTAAACAGAACTAGTAATGAAGATACTCAAATTAAGTCAGGCTGCTAGAATAAGTAACGTCTAAAATAATGATAAAACGAAACAATTAAAGCGAAATAATCACCCATTTTTCCTTCTCGACTCCCAAATGAATATTCCTCTTCAAGAACAGCAACGGTTCATCCTTCTCAATCTCACTCTCGTCAGCACAAGCGTAATTTTTCAAGAGAGCAGCCCACTTTTTACGTACAGCCCATGGCTCGTGAGACTCGCGTAATTGTAATTCTAAAAAGCTACCAATACAAATTTATAAACCCTTAAAACCCCAGCTTTAAGACCAGTAAATGACATTCAAAACTGATAAAGCTTACAAAACAAAGTAAAAAAGTTCTACCCAGTAAGTCTGAAATAATCCATATCGAGCAACAGCTTCTGAACAGCTTCCTATCAATATTAAGATGAGATGCAAGTTGGTCAAGAATATCCCTGGCGGTCTTCTTCTGATCAACAGAATAAACAAATTTATACCCTGAAACAGGCCTAATGCAAAAAACTTCAACGTGCTAGGAAAAATGTTTTACAACTGAATGACCTCAAAATCAATAGTAATTAAGTGCGATCTGTAGATTCTGCAAAGCCATGCGCCATACCTTTCATATCCGGACGATAAACAGTGATATTAATTTGCTCATGACATCGCTTATAGGGAAACGATAGTGACTGCGCTGACCTTGGAGAACCGTCAACACTGATACTCGGATCTCTCAAAATGATGTCATTTCATTAAAAAACGAGTTTCATACGACTTCACTAGCCCTGATATCCCTCCTTTCCTTTGGTGAAAGTTTATTTGCTAGTAGACTCAGTCAAAACAGATTAAGATTTCTTAATGATGTTATAAATCTTATTAACTTAAACAATCATAAAATCCTTTAATATACTACTGATATTTCAGTCTGCATAAATGCACTAATGCATAGAAGAAACAAAGATATTGAAAAGAAAAAAGATTACGTCAATGACTGATACTTTCAGCAACTCAAAAGCGTGCTCACTGGTGATCGGGCACACCACATTTTATTTTCAAAAAGACTACAAAATAATACTGACAAATTTGATCCACCATAAACCGGTACAAAACAAAATACTGAGAAAAGAAAAACGGAAAAAATAAAGATGGTTATTACTGGAAAAAACTGGACGGAGTCTCCAGGGCAGATGGAGTTTGCGATACAATAGAAGAATCAGTTGGTGAGTCAAGCTGAAAAAACATAACTCCATCCTTTGAAACTGCCTACTTCGGCTATTTGATCACAAGTAACAAAAAGCACCTTTCAAAAAAGTCCAAACAGACAATAAAAACTGGGAAATATCAAAACACAACGGCAAGAAAAACTGACTTGATCTGCGTAAGTAACTTGCTTCCCTTTGCCTTTGCCTCCATTCCTACCACCAGGTGTCAAGCAGGATCGTCCTGGTGAGACCTGAAGCAGTAAAACAAAAAAGCTTATGATGGTTATCTGCCAAATAAAATGAAGATACTTCTACCAGCAAAAAAGTCCATCCTTCTATTTGAACAAAATGCCCCAATAAACAATGATGCTGTAAAAGATAAAAAGATAGAAGACATAAAAAACAATAAAAGAAAAAAAAAAAGAAGAAATGAAGTTTGGCTCACAAAGTGAGAGAGTATTTTTCAATTTCCCCTTATTTATTGTTATTACTATGATAACGACTAATAAAGTCAATTCTGGTGCATGTACCGAAAGCCAATGATAAACTTTATTTTTAAGTAGTGTATGGGCCAAATATCAAAAGCTAATATCAACAGTAAAAAGTAGAAAGAAAAATAATAATAATAATAATAATAACTGCAAAAACGGTAGAGCACCACTATTAGAACCACACGACCCACTAGTTACTGGTCCTTAAGATCCCAAGTTATATTAATAAGTTTCAAGCATGTCATAAAAGTTGAAGTTTTAACTCTTCTTGAAATCCGGAACTAGCAAACTTACAAATGGTGACACATCAATGTCCGACAATTCAACTCCACGACTTTTGCTAAGCTTCCTTCTAGCGCCACTTTTGTTTATCATACCTGCAAAAAAAAAAAAAAAAAAAAAGAAGAAATTAAATAGCGTCTACGATTAAAAAAATTTTATGCTGACTACAAGATTTTGGTCAAGCTATTTTTTATAACACTTCACAGAAGCTCCAATCTCCGGCTGCCCCGTGAAAAAAAGGCTGAACTGAAAAGACAACTGGAGAAACTCTGCCACAGCTTTGTTCCATTAAAAATGAAGAGTATAACAAAAAATTAACCGTGAACATGCATTGCATACACAAAAAGTATTTGTACAAAAATTGACCAGTCCATCAAACAATGGAGTTTAAAAAGCCTTAAAAATCGACAGTAGGCAGTAAACCGACTGATGGATAATAAATTGCTAACAATATAGTATTTGATGCTTCTTTTCCTAATGAAAAGAAATGCAAAAAAAAAAAAAAAAAAAAA